GTCCTTCCTGTTAGAAATCCAGGATCGGAGAGTGAGAAGAATGGAGAAAACCAATGTTTTTACTTGACATCCAGGTCTTGAAGGTATTTTAAACCCTGTGATAACATTCCAAGGTAGACTTCTTCCTCGATTTTAGAAGAGTATTTATGACTGCTTCTGAGAGACGTAACTGCTGGAGTCTCTCCTTTTTTTAAGAGCTAGGCCCCCCAGTTACGATGTTTGGGATTGTGGTGAAGAACATGTCCCTGGCTCAACAAGTCCTTCCTTACCGGAAGCTTCCAGTGTTCTTCCAGACTTATCTTGCTCAATAATTTGAACCATGGCCATCTTGGTAAAATTGGAATAATGACTATTACCGTCCTTGCTTCTGACCACACGTTTCTCAGAATCAGTGATTTAAGGGTAGGGAAGGGAACGCATATCCCAGTTCAAAGTTCCAACTTAGTGAGAGGGTGTTTTGACCCACAGATAGACTATCCTGATGGATAGAGTAGAACTTGGGGATCTGACAATTATCTGCTGTTGCTATGAGATCGACCTGGGTATGCCCAACTGACGAGTAATCCTCCTAAAACTGTTGGGTAAAGTTTCAATTCTCCAGGCTGCATGGTAGATGATAGTGAGCCTAGCAGGCTCCAGAGAAACTGCAAAGTTTACATTGCAGCTCTATGTCTGCCCACAGTGGCTGTCTAACAGACAACCACTAGTGGGATTCCTGGATTCTAAAGGACCTTTGGTCCGGTATCTGACTATAGACGTCCTCACGCTCTGCATGAGGACATCCAGTGTCCGATTTTTCTCCATAGGAGAGCATTGATTCAATGCTTTCCTGTGGGGAGGTCTAGTGTGCATGCCGCATTGACGTGCATGCGCATTAGCGATCGCTCGTTACGGGACGTCGAAAGGAGGGGGAGGATCGACCTTAGGGATATTTGCGCTGGGATAAGGTAAGTAAATAAAGGGTTTTTCAATCCTTTATTTACCCGGGCAGGGGGGCAAGAGGGAGGGGGGGAAGGCAGAGGGAGCTTTAGTATTCCTGGCACTACAACATTCCTTTAACGTTGGCCAATTCAGGCATAACATACAGATTACTATATTTTACAGAAAAGAGCAAATGTGTACATTATCTAATATCATTAGATGTTTGTCCATTTTAAGTGAACAGAACACTTTTGTAAGACAACAACTCACTGCTAAAGGACGAATTGAAAGGTCAACCACCCCATAAAAAGTGCACTTTCTATGTGGTGGTTCACCTATCAATAAATATACCATCCTTACTATTGGAGTGTTGCCTGCGTTTATTCCTTTTGAAGATTTTACTGGTGGGTCCAGCGATGTCCGCCTGACACAGAGCACCTCCCCTGTGGATGGCCGGAGCATTTACACAGTATCAGTATGCAGGGTTCTTTGTTTACTTTGAACAACTTACTGCTAATCTATCAGGGTTTGGTCAAAGCATAGGCAGCTATGCAAGTGTGTCTATAGCAATCAACAAGAAAGACAGACTTGAGGGGGTAGGCCTTAACAGCTGACCAGTGCAGTCGCATGGTGCTAAAGCTCCTTTGGGTAAACCACTTACAAAAGAGTAACTATGTGTCCAAATCTCACAAAAAGTGAAGAATCGGATACATAGAGGTCAGTATGGTGGTTCCAGATCCACTGAATGACGGGCTTAGACCCAAAATCAAATATAGAAAGTAAAGTAAAAAATAGAGTCTAAAGAAGAATGGGACTCAAAACTGGTTTTAAAGAGAGTAAAGGAAAAAAATGATAATACATATTGTGACTCAGGAAATCAGCACTGAGTAATGGTCGTGGGAATTGCCAACATAGCAAATCACATAAATGTTCCAAAAATTGGAACAAATACTGTGAGGCAAGGAAAAAAGGAAAAAGTATCTATATATAGTAGTAATAGTACAACTATGGTCGTGTCTGTGTCTAATAACGAGGCACAGATCCAATTAGTGATAACACACGTACCAAAGTCAATAGGGGAGGTTAAGAATACTCAGTAAAAAGAACTAACAATGACACTGGGACAGAGTTAATGGCTATAGTACAAGTAGATCAGGGATACCAGGGAGGCATAAAAAAACCAAAGGAGAAAGATAAATGCTAGATTCCTCAGCAGCAAGCAACCACTGCTAAATGTGACAAAAAAAACAGACAAAAAAACACCAACTGGATATATACAGAGCTAGACTGCCCTATTACTCCTAGGTAAAAAAAAAAACCTTCAAGGGGGTTCTATGCTGCCCCTGGTAAAGTATAGAAAATAACTCAATAGTCATCAAATGTGCTGAAAGCAGCAAGTAACTTGGGACTGTGCAAATACAGCTAATATCCCTATTACACCTAAGCCAAACACCTTCAAGGGTGTTCTATGCTGTCCCTAGTAAAGTGTCAAGACAAAACACTCCCAATTACCCATGAGACCACATAACTCAGAGCTGAAATAGGAAAAAATAAAAGTTAAACACCTAGTGCCACCATTTTTCGGTGCGTTTAATAGCACCTTCGTCAGGGGTTAAGGGGCTAAACCACTTACAACCTTTTAATTTGGACTTACTGCTAATTTTTTGGGCTAAATCCTTGCTTATACCCCCAGTGAGCACCCCGCTAATTAATCATAATTTTTATGCCAAGGAATACTGCAACCAGTAAATATGTCTTGTGTGAGACAGCCTTGAGGCCTGCAGTTCCATTCGGGGATAGGGAGGTGGCCGATCCTCAGCCTTGACCGGAAGCTCCCTACCAAAGAACCATGTCTCCCCCCCTCTTTATCCCAGTCCCCAGTGGCATATTATAGTGATCACCCAGCTTACATTGCAAGCTGCCTGGTGATTCGGAGGTTTGAGGCCTGGCAATCAAAATGGCTACACTGCTGGAGTATACAGGCATTTAGCCGTGCCCAGCAAATCATGTGGAAGGTTCCTCTTGGCTTTGGATCATCTTTGTGAGCAATTCTGTGCGAAGCTTTGTAGCCAGAGACTCACCTCCACTCCTACTGGTCAGCATTGCTGTATCCAACGACTTCAGTCTCTCCCCAGAGGTTCAAGAGAAGGCATGAGGAAATGTGTGCAGATAATGCCTAGAAATTGGTGAAAAAAGCAGCTCTAAAACACTTGTGTGGGAATACCCCCTTCTCACACTTTAAATTACAATATGAAAAAGTGTTATAGAGGTACCATCTGCACTAGTTTCTCTTTTTTTGTGTTTTTGTATTTCATATATTTCATTTCAGGTATATCTCCTGCTCAACTGTATTATAGAGGAGTAAGTTATTCATGCAGGTTTATTACCAGTGCATGTTTTCTATAGGTGCTCCACATCACATAAAGGCTTGTAACCTTTATAACACTTTTTCAGATAATTCCATACTGCTCTGACCTCCAGGACTGTCACTACTCCCCTTGCCTGTGGAAATGCAAATCATTTCATCCAGGGCACAGCATCTAAATCCCAGAGGCCTACACATCACGGTACTGAGCATACATTACCAAGGGGTCACAACAAAGAGTATCAGTTACAATCATGTATGTTATCAGACTGGCTGATGACTGGGATTGGGTTGAAGTTCATTTTTGGGGTGTCTGACAGTTGCGGCTGCTGCGATTCACCCCCACTTGGCATCAGCTGAGTGATCTGCAGGCTAGTGGTTTTTGAACCCCAGTTGTTATTATAACATGTTTTACTATGCTCTAACTATATGGCGACAATTTATATTGTGTATATTCTACATTACAGAAATAAAAATGTTTTTGAAAAAGGCAAACAAACTAAACAGTGGACAAATAAAATGTTATTTCTTTGTGTATTTGTTATTTACATGAGACCACCACAATGGCATTTAGCTCCTCCAGTACATTAATCACAGTCCCGTCTATGAGACTCAAGTTAAAAAATGTTAATCCAATAATGAATAGTCCAGAAGTTTGATAGCTGTCCAAGTCATAAACTCTTTTTCTTCAGAGAAGAACATTTGGGACCCATGGTAGCACAATGTGAGTATTTTATTTTATTGATATTTTTTTTTAAAAGATCTGGTATTTAATTATTTGATAATGTTATACATGTGTCTACTATTGCCTGCTTTCATGTTCACTATTATCCAAAAAAAATATTTTATGAAAATCATTTGATTGGACACTGTTAAGGCTTTGCAGAGCAAGTATGATTTTACTGCCTAATTCTGAAAGACATCTAAATGCATTTTAAAATTTTATTTTCACTACCTTCTTCAAGTGCATTAGAATTATGCATTTTGTAACCCAGACTTTCCAATTGAAATTATATTCTACAGGAGAATGTGGGACAAATTAGACTATTACATATCAAATAGCAATGTTAATCACAGATCATATAGACATTGAAAGTTTATTGCTCTCAAACATATGCCACGCAGCATACAGAAAAATAAACCTTAATCTCCTATATTTATATAGAATTTACTAATTTGCCTGCATATGTAGTAAATATCCTCATGATAAAAAAGGGCTTTAATGCATTCAATTAAAGCACATATTTGAACCTTGATTGATGTTGTCTACTAGATGTGCATGCCATTCACATTACTTTAAGCGTGTATGCTCTTTTTGGCCTTGAAACGTAAATGGCTGCATTATCACCTTTTTATTTACATAGGAACACTTATGTGTGCAGAGAAGAAAAACATATAAATATATGCAATTAATTGCAGATGAAACAAATCTATTTAATGGAAAAATTTATATATATTCTCTTGTCTTCTTGTCTTGATCAAATTATATTTTATTAGTACTTATCTATGAGTCTTCTGAAGTGGGTTAATATATATATATATATATATATATATATATATGTATATATATATATATAAATGTATGCTGAGCTCATACAGCTTGGCTCTTTCCTCTGCAAAAGTTAATTACTTCAATACCCTCATAACCACACTGTCCCGCGAACCCAAACGGCTATTTCACACATTTAATTCTCTTCTTTGCCCTGCTGTTCCTCCTCCACATACTAACTTAACTGCCTCAGACTTTGCAACTCACTTCACTGACAAGATCTCTACAATCAGAGAAGAGATCTCTCATCTTTCTTCTTCTCCTTACAATACTTCCCCTAACTTCACTCCCTCTGCTGTTCTATGTCCATTCGCACCCTCTACATTGGAAGAGGTTTCTGCTCTGCTCCAGTCCTCCCGTCCCACCACCTGCTCCCTAGATCCAATTCCCTCGCATCTCATCCATATTCTGTCTTCCTCTCTTTCTCTACCTCTCACTAAAATTCTCAATCTCTCTCTCCTCTGGTATATTTCCATCGCCCTTCAAACATGCAACTGTATCCCCAATTCTAAAGAAGCCCAACCTTGACCCTAACTCCCCATCCAACTATCGTCCTATCTCGCTACTTCCAATATCATTTCTATGCAGATGACACGCAAATCTACCTGTCCTCTCCTGATCTCTCCCCGTCCCTCTTGACTAGTGTCTCTGACCACCTCTCTGCTATTTCTAACTGGATGGCTGCCCACTTCCTTAAACTAAACTTGACCAAAACTGAAATTCTGGTCTTTCCTCTCTCAAGTGTTGTTACACCTGTGTCTGTCTCCCTCCAAGTCAACAGTGCTACCATCAGCTCCACCACGCAGGCTCGCTGCCTAGGTGTTCTCTTTGACTCTGACCTCTCCTTTAAGTCTCATATTCAATCTATTGCCAAATCCTGTCATTTGCATTTCAAAAACATTGCGTGCATCCAACCCTATTTAACGCCAGATGCGACTAAGGTGTTGGTCCATTCCACTGTCCTTTCTCGCCTTCACTACTGTAATCCACTTCTCAGTGGTCTTACGTGCTCCCAACTTGCGCCGTTACAGTCCATAATGAATGCGGCAGCAAGGCTCATCTTCCTGTCCGCCCACACCTCCCATGCCTCACCCTTCTGTCAGTCCCTACATTGGCTTCCTATAAAATATAGAGCTCAATTTAAAATTCTGGTTCTTGCTTTCAAATCGCTACATAATGCTGCTCCCACCTATCTATCCTCCCTTATACACAAGTATGTCCCGTCTAGGCCCTTACGATCTGCTGAAGACTTACGTTATCTTCTGTCCGTACTCCCACCACTGATGCTCGCCTTCAAGATTTCTCGAGGGCTGCACCGTTCCTGTGGAACTCGCTTCCCTCCCCCGTTAGATGCTCACCCAGTCTCCACTCCTTCAAAAAATTTTAAAAACCCACTTCTTCATAAAAGCGTATCACTTAAACTGTTAATAGCTCCCGACTGATTCCTCTTCTGCAACTGTCACTAGTCTAATACTATCCTTACCTTTTTGTGTCATTTTACCCCACTCCCTCTAGCATGTAAGCTCATTGAGCAGGGCCCTCAACCCTTCTGTTCTTGTGTGTCCAACTTGTCTGGTTACAACTACATGTCTGTTCATCCACCCATTGTAAAGCGCTGCAGAATTTGATGGCACTATGTAAATTAACATAATAATAATAATAATAATCTATATATATATATATACATATATATATATAGATATATATGCAAAGATATATCCATTTGATATGCGTAGATATATATTGAGTTTTCCATTTAAATTTATTATCAAAATTCATTGAGTTAGCTATGTCTTCAATTCAGGCACCCCGTTGACAACTAAGGAAGGGGGAGCATGAATGTGGCACACTGTTAGGCTCTCCTGGGATTGGCCTCAACTAAAAAAGATGTTGTTATAATGTTTCAAAAGTGAAGTTGAGGAAAGGGAAGAGCTATGTGAGCCTTGCCAGCAGCAGGAGATTTAGCAAGGCTTATCTGTTACCCCGCCCAGCCGGGTTGATGGTAGGGATGAGTAGTTGGGTATTCAGTTATTTGTTTCCTTGTTAGTGTTTTGTTTTCTTTTTCTCTGTGTTGTCACTGCAACGGTGCCCTTGCCAGCTCAGCAAATATATGAAAAATATTTTATTATTTTGTGTGCAATTTGCCTTGTACTGTTACTCTGTTCCTATTTGTACAATATGTAATTTTTGTTATTTACATACTTATTAAAGATTTATACTTAATATCAGGGAGTGTTATAGTGTGCATTCTGTATCATATAGTGATTATTGTGTTTAAACACTTGAGGGAGTGCTTGTATGGTTTGCACCTAGCTAATAGTGTTTGGTTAATAATAATTTTGTCTCCCCATGTGGTTTTTGCTTATATCTGCCATTACTCACCAGGCAGCTGACAATTTGTTATTTTGGGTGTTTGCTGACATGTTGTGCTTTTAAATAAAGCTGTGGCCTATGCCCTACTATCAAAAAAAATATCTGTCTCATTATTTGGGCACAGGGTATTCAAAGGTGGGGATAGGTTCACATGGTTAATAGAAGTTAGTAACTGTTAGAGTCATAAATTAGCTGCGTGTCAACAGTTAAGTTACTCTATCCTTAAATTTGAAACTTTTTCATTCACATAACCCTTTGACATTTATTTAGATGTGGAGATTTGTGAGATTCTTCGAAAACACATATTGCTGTGAGTTTTTATGAAGAGGAAAACCCAGCAGTCCAATGCAATACAACTCAAAGTATTGTGGAGCATGGATAAATGTCAACAGAGGGAGGGGACTGCATGTTTGTCAGTGAATCCAAAAAGTATTGAACAGACCCTCTATGTAGTGCAGCTTCAAAATGCTAATGCACATGTCCTAACTATTTCGATGTAACATTATGCTAGCAAGGCATTAATATACTTGGAATGTAGCTGCACACAAATCTGGATGTTTTTCTGCAATGGCATACTGTCTGTGCTTGGAATTTATGTGTTCACAAAAATACAAAATGCAAAATATGACTACATATGTAGACAGAAATTGGTGGAAAAAAGATTCACATGAAGTAAACAAAACACTCTATAGTAAAAAACCTAGATTGTTCACTTTTTAAATATGTATTGAAAAATGAAAATATCTTTACATTTTTTTTTATTGTTTTATAGGATGCACAGCATGAGTACTTCCAGCGTTGTTTAACGGAGTCAAACTCCATGAAACAGCAGGAAGTGCCTCTAGTGGCTGTCTGCCAGAGGCTACTAGAGGAAGTCTTAGCACTGAAACTGCAGCCTTGTTCTGAAGTTTTGAAGCCAGAGTGTCATGCCCATGGTTCAAGGCTGGATTAGTAGATTGGAGGATATACATTTCATTGAAGAACTTAACCTATCAGGTTCTGATAATAAGCAGAAACCCACGTTTATCTGGTTACATTGGATTCCTTGGATGTCCTCTGGGTCTGATGTCTCTGGATCACCAAATACGCCTTCCTCGTAGCCTTTAACACATGACCTAGTCCAATTGTCAGCTGTTGAGATGCACATGCCTGTTCGCTGTAGTTGCTATTTCCCTTATACTTTCTTTCTTTATTTGTCTTCCTTTTTGTGGCGAAACCGGCCTCGCCACGTGTCCTTGGAGGGGGCTGCTTGCCCGCCTCTTGCCTTTGGACTATGGACCAGACTTTATGTGAATGTGTTATACCCCAGATAGGAATCCCATGGAGCCCATTCGTATGAAACTGGCTGTAAAGACTTTGGCTCCATGGCGATTAAACTGTATTTGTGTGGTCCGAGCGCCATTCACTTAATAATGTGCGCTCAGACCTGAGCTATCTGGGGATATGTGAAATGTCTGTGTGTTATGTGTAAAATGTGACTTTATGTATTTTAAAGTGTTTTGTGTCTTTTTGCAACCATGTGCTTAATGGAGTCTTGTGTCTGTCCTGGGAGATAATTGAATTACTTATCTCCAGGATAGAAGACTCTGAAACTGGTTTGGGCCAGAAAGCCATGCTTCATTTAGTCACAAAGGACTTTTTACTAACTTTTGAACCCCTTTGTCTGATTTGTGCCATTTTTGAATATGTTGTTCCCCTGAATGGATTGATTGTGAATATGTAATTTTATGTGAATGTGATGTATGGTTTTGGAGTTATGAAAGTTGGGTAGAAAGTATGTTTTAACTGTATGTATAATTGAGTTTCCTCTCAGGATAAGGGGAGGGAATATGTGGGATGTAACTGTGATGTGATTGGTTGTTTTGTAACGCCCTGTGGGCTGTACTATGTTTGTGGATTGGGAATAAAAGAGACTGTATGTGACAGTACAGGGAGTTCCTGCTTAACCCTCAAAGTGAAGTGTCGTCTCATTATTGGGAAGGATTTATTGTATGCTGTTCCAGTTTGACTGCTAGGAGAGTAAACCTATTCGTATGGTTCCTATTCAACTGTCTACAGCATTCATATACTTGAGAGGATTCATATGCTTCTCCGGTTCGGTGGTTGTGGTGTCTGCTGCAGTGCTTGGAGTCCTCAGGAAGCGCTAGGAGCATCCTTCAACGGAGGTACCCAGTCGGGGTGCCAGGCGATCCGTTACACTTTTCTCCTTACCTTCCTCTCTGTCGTTTTACACCATCTCTACTCTTATAAGCAGCAACTTATGACATACATTTTGTTGTAGACAGGAACTTATTTTAACATGGGATCTATTTTTTTTTGTATTGCATTGCTCCTATTTCATGTACTAACCGTGACGCTACTATTTGTTATGTTATATCATGTACTCGTTCATTTTTACCTCAATAAATCTTGAATGAAATAAAAATAACTTACTTTAAACCTGTTCAGATCACATTATTGGACACGCCTCTCAACTAGGAAAGTTTCTTCACCTCCTCCCATATCCCTCACCCCATCTCAGTTTAAGCCCAGTCCACTAATGACAGAAACAAGGCATTATTGTGCAATGGCAGGAGAGAGAAACCTTGCAAAGAATGAGTATGCTTAAGAAGGAAAAAAGTAGTTAGAGTTATTCACTAAAGTGAGAGTTTAAAGTGAATTCAAAGTGACTTAATGCATGTTTTCAGCATTCCTAGGGATAGGACACTGATTAGAACAGCGTCCCCCAACTAGTGGGTGTGAAAGCATATGAAGAAGGAAGTAAGAATGAAGAGAAAAAAAAAACATATTTATCTGCTTTTGTCAGCAGAATGAGGCAACTGTCTAATTCAAAGTTAAAGAAATTGAAAAAGATATTTCAAAGTGATGCATATCCCTTTAAGCATGATAGTCAATGCATGTGTAACACCTTCAGCGTCTACAGTATGGATGCCCATATTTGAAGTAATTGTACCTTGAAAGACCTCATGAATGAGCTTGTCTCAAACCAAGCTGTACCATGGAATCTAA